TTAGAGGACTACAAATGAGCTTACTGATTAAGAATATCCTAAATTTAATAAGATTCATTCAATATTTTCGCTAATATCTGGAAAATAAGAATCCGTAATTCCCGGCCGGCCGATAGGCGTCTCCACCATGTCGCCTGCCGACCCTTAAGGGTCGGCAGTACACCCAGGCAAACTCCGAATTGATATTGGAGACCTCGTGCGGTGACAACGCGAAACTCCGGTTTCAGTGTTGCCAACGCCGAGAAACCAATTCTCGGGTTTTATGTAGTGGTGTATGTCTGTACACGTACATACACCAACTGCATCGCTCACGCGGACGCACGTAAGAGAGACAAGGACCGATAATCACGTGTTCTCCTTGTTCATCTACCGTGCCGGTATACGCGAGATGCCGCCTGAAAATGCTTTCTGGCCTTCCGTAGCAGAAAGCAGTAACGTAGCAAGACTAATAAGCACCCACTTTTGGAAGTATATATGGTTATGCACATATGTGCATAACGTATATATATAACATATATATATATATATATATATATATATATATATATATATATTATATAAGGGATATGTTGATTATATTCTTGATTTCTTTTTGATTATTGATGCTATTGTATAATTTGCTCCAAATACTTATAACGTGAAAGAACGTTGAGTAATGTATAATCAATGCAAGGATGTTCAGTATATCATCCAGTATATAAATTAGAGTTCAAATATATCAATATCAATTTTTTTATAATATATATATATATATATATTAGAATATAGAAAAATGATAAAAAAATATATTTCGGCGATTTAAAAATTTTTTAATATATTGAAAATATTTTTACTACATACACTATATATAAGTGTAAAATAATTCAGAAAATAAATTTAATAAAAATCTACATACCAGCTGTGTGCATGTGTGCAATTGATTTATTACTTGAAATTTATTTACGGAATTATTTTGCATTTATATATTTATAGTATGTGTAGTTGTAAAATGATTAAAATATTTTCAATATCAAATTTTTAAGTTTATCGCCTATATAAAAAATATATTTCTATGATTTTCTATATTCCAATATATTATAAAAAAATTGATATTGATATATTTGAACTCAAGTTTTTTACGTGATTAAATATTCTTGCATTGAGCCATCATACGTTACTCGTAAGTTCTTTCACGTCATAAGTACTTATGTAGCAGAGAGAAAGAAATGAGAGTTATACAATGTAACATCAATAATCTTATATATTATATATATATAATATTTCATTTATTTATAAAAAACATTTTATAAATAAGTAAAATATTATACAGACAATGTACAAGATGTTCAGTTTGTGCCATAACAAGCTTCAATCAATAATTATTACTCCAATGAGTATAATTCACAATAATTTTTATATAATATAATAAATATTTGAATATATAAAAATATTTTTAAAAATTTGTTTTAAAAATTAATTGAAAAAGAATATTTAAAATATTTTTTTATATTTAAAATATTCTTTTCCTCAATTAATCTTAAAAAAAATATTTTTAAATATTTAAAAATATTTAAAAATACTATATATTATATAAAAATAATTGTTGATTATTATATTGGATTATTAATTGAATGAAGCTAGAGCTTTTAATATGGCTTTTAATACTGCTTGACAAGGAGAGAGCATCATTCCATCTTTGTCTCTCTTACATCGCATATGTAGTAGCGTCCATGTAGGTACAAACACTAAAAAATATTAAATTTAATTTTTTTATTGTTTTGAATAATTTTATCATTAATATACTTATTTTCAGAACTATTTCAATTTTTATTTCATACTTATGTTTATATAAATTATAAATTAAAAACATATCAAAAATGTAATACATATTAATAAAATGCAAATACATATAGAAAATTAATTATAAAATGTCATCTTAAAATAGTTTTTATTTTTGTTCTTTATTTACATATGCATACATATACAAAAAAATAAAAATAATATGATAGCCTTTTTGCTGACATTATCTCTCAATATTTGCATCCGTGTGCTCACGTATTAGTGTTTGTACCTACATGGACGCTACTACATATGCGATGTAAGAGAGACAAAGATGGAATGATGCTCTCTCCTTGTCAAGCAGTCAGCATGTTACCACAGAAATTTCCCCTGCTCCTTATGAATCTAGTGAGAATCTTATCGTCCAGATATTTCATAAAATAAGTGACATAACTTCGTGAATTTTTTTTTAATATATTCTTTATATAATAAAGCAGTCCTCTAAAAGGCCGGATTTTACATTTTCGCTCTTAAAAATTTATAATAAATAAAATACGGACTCGCGGCTAACCCAACCTTACCCGTTCCTAGCTGTGCATTCCCCCAAGTTTATTAAAAATTTTTATTTTTATCTTTTTTTCATAAAATAGCTCTTTAGAGGACTACAAATGAGCTTACTGATTAAGAATATCCTAAATTTAATAAGATTCATTCAATATTTTCGCTAATATCTGGAAAATAAGAATCCGTAATTCCCGGCCGGCCGATAGGCGTCTCCACCATGTCGCCTGCCGACCCTTAAGCGTAATCTGCGTATTCTAGTGTAATCTAGTGATTTAATAAAAGATACGCCGTGGTTACGCTATTCTGAAGGACGGCATTCACATAGGGCGTATTGCACGGAACGTGTAACTATATAATACAACCAATCGTAGATTAGAGTTTCCGTTGTATGCTTTAACAGAAATGCTAAATAGGACTTGTGATTGGTTTTCGTAACCTACGCGTCCCGAATAATACGCTTCATGAGGAACCAATGCTTTGGATTCCGTAAAATGCGCATATTTAAAATGGCTGGCAAAGTGACAAGATAAACGAAATATGTAGAAGACAAGAGTCCTCACTGCTTCGATCAAGAGTTCATCCAAAGTATCTGTAGGACCTTCCGCAGTCTTTGCATTCTCTTGGATTATTAAATAAATCAATACATTTAATTACTATAATACAATAAAATGATACAACAAAATATATGCAAAGAATGTAGTAAACATACTGTTATAACATATTATCACGACAAAATTTTCATCTACAACGATGCGATCCTTATCTTCCACATAATGCTTGAAACATCCATGCTCGACAAAATTAGTAGAAAATTGGAACAACCATCCACAATACCCGCATTTGTGCTGAAAAGATTCAAACATGCAATGTAAAAAAATAATGCATTATGATGTTCATATTGCTCAAAATTCTTAAAAATTTATGCATGTAAAACAAGAAAATCAATATATGTTAAATATTAGAGAAAGAGAAAACAGATTTCAAATGCAAAAAGTACGAAGACCTACTATTATACAATTTAAACTTGAAATTTTGTATCACATGTCGTGAGCAGTAGACTGTTTTTAATCGAACGCTATTAAAGCTTATATAATAAATTAGATTTTTGTTAACTTACCCTTATTTGATTATTCTTGTTCATCTTATTAATATATAGGTATGGATGGATTAAAATTAACTTCTTCTTTCTCTTTAGTCTTTGGCAGAAGAACGCACAAATGGAGTTGTGTTTTTTTTTTTTTTTACAAATACGCATTAGCGTTTCTTCCGTCAGAAATTGAATTCGGCGTAACGATAATAGCGTACAAAGCATAAAATAATTAGACAGAAGCTGATACTAAAATGAGACGATGTGATTGGTCGGCGTAAGTTACCGCAAGTTACGCCTCATGTGACGGCACCCTTAAGCTCCTTGATCCTCAAGCTCGTTCTACAATACGTTGTAATGTCGCAGTTGAATGCCGGAACGTAAGCGATTGTCCAAAGCCCGTTCGGCCCGTTCTACAATACGTCGTATGTCGCAGTCGGATGTCGGGACGTAAGCGATTGTCTAATACGGAAATTTTGTTTTCGAAAAAGAAATTTCCTCATTGGACAATCGCTTACGCTCCGACATCCGACTGCGACATACGACGTATTGTAGAACCGGCCTCAACCATGTCGAAATCGTGACGTCAGAAGCGGAAAGATATACACGCTGAAAATTTTTGCGTGCCATTTTTGGATAAAAAGATATTTCAATGAACCAACACTACAAAATCCTTTGGCACATTTGCAAAATTGTCCGAAAAACTAACCTTTTCCCTTATAATCAATCAACAGCTGTAAAATGACTGAAATATGAGGCGCAGTCCGTCCAGTTTTTGTACATGCGTAGTCATTCCATATGACGAAGTCTGATATTTCAATTATTTTACGGCTGTTGATTGACTGTCAAAGAAAAAGAACAGTTTTTGGACAATTTTACAAGTGTACCAAAGGATTTATTTGTAGTGTTGGTTTATTGTAATATCTTTTATTTAAAAATGGTACGCAAAAATTTTCAGCGTGTATTTTCTTGCCTCTGGAGATCGATTGTGTAACTTTTTCTAAAGTGAAAAATTTCCGCCAATCACGCGCATTGATTTTAAAATGAACTCGATGTGTGATAGGAAGAAAATTTTCACATTTTCACTTTAGAAAAAGTTATACAATCGACTCCCTGACGTCACAATCCAACATGGTCGCGAGGATCAAGGAGCTTTAAATGAAACCTATACACTATTTTTCGTTGCACATTATTGTAGCTTTATCTCGAGAACTTCCCAAAACATTATAATAAAATGTATTTTTTTCTTAAGTACTTTTTGAGTTATAAAAGGTTTAAAATTAACAATTTTTTGGCATACAATGTAAAATATCTTGTAAAATATTATTCGGTTTTCGGTAATCTCTTTAAAAAATAAAAGCTCTTTATACTCGAATTATTTGTATTTATATGTATATATCAAAGTTTTTCAATTTATTATTTTAAAATAATTCTTAATATTATATCCTATTTTTAATATTTATTATTGATTCCTTATATTTTCTCTATTGTGTACAGGGTCTTATTATATATTATAAAACTTGCATTGCACACAAGAAATCGGGCGATTATTACCGGACACCCTGTAATAATAAATGATGATCACGTGATTGTTCCCGTTCTATAGCCCTCTCCATCTGTTTCTTCGCTTTAAGCAGCTTTGGGAAATTGGTTAGGGAGTTTACTTAAACGGCGATAATCATGTCATATATGGAGAAATTGCTGTTACTTGTTGCCAGTTAACAGAGTCGATTACAGCCAAATGTAGGGAAACGTAAGGGATCACAATAATCGTGCAAAATCTAATCGGAAAAGAAGGCGAAAAGCAGGACAGATTTCGCTGTTCAAGGAACGCGAAACTCATGTGTATTTCACGTAACAAAACAAAAACTATCGGCAATCAACTACAGCCACATCATCTGACCTTGAGAGAGAGAGAAAAAAAAAGAAAAACCGCAATCATGTCCCCACTGCCTATTATTTGTCTCTTCTGATAACAAGTTCGTTATATCCTACACAGTTTCCTCTCCACTCGCTACAGTTCGGTTTTAATTGTTCTCTATGAATGCTGACAATTAAAAATATCGGCCCGAATTCGTACAAAACAAATAGTTGGCACACTGATTTTTGAAAACTACGATTTGTGAAAATTATGATCCACGAAAATTATAATAATTTTCTTTGCGATTGCACCATAAATGCACATTTTGCCATCTGGCAGTGCTAAATCAATGGAATATGCATAAATTTTCATCAAATTATGTGATTTGAGAAATATGATAATGTCTCATGTATGAGAAAAAGATTGGTATAAGAAAAAAAGAAGTGGAAAAATCTTGAAAATTCTTATGATACCTTTTTAATTTATACTTTTTATCATAACAATGGAATTATTGAAATGAGATGGAGGATTAGTAGGAAAAGATTTTGGTGGACCATGCGCACTATTATAACAATGAAATCTTGACAAAAAAGGGACATATTTTTTAACAAACAATATGGCTTGTGATGCTCTCATTTGGGGGCTATTGTTTGTAGGCTGCAGTGTACAGATATGGGCTATATCTGAAGACGATCTATTAGAATATATGAGCAAGGAAGAAAAAGAAACTTTAAAGTTTGTATTATCTGTTGTATATAATATATATCAAATCTCTATTGATTAAATTTTATAATTGTTATATTTTGTTATAGGGAAGAAGCAAGGGATATGTTCTATCACGCATACAATGCTTATATGGTAAATAAACATTTAACATAGTCTTTTTACTTTTCATTTGTATTATCGATTATTTAGAACAAAAATAATGTTTTATAAATATAAGATGTATTAAGAACATATAGTGTTAAATATTAAATATTAAATAACAAATATTAATCACTATAAAAAAATTAATATCTTTTACTATTTGTATGTTAGAAAAAAAAGAATGTCACTTTAACATAGGTTGATATATGTATTTAAAAAAATATTTTCTATGCAAGGACAATGCGTATCCTGCTGATGAATTGATGCCATTAAGTTGTAAAGGACGATATAGAGGCTCGGAACCAAACAGGGGTGATATAGATTCTACATTGGGAAAGTAAGAATTCAAATATATATCTTTGAAACAGATGATATGAATTAAATATATATATATATATATATATTGTTTTATATTTTATTTTGTCACAAATTGTATTGAAAATTCTAAGTAATATGTAAAATTCTTCCACTCTTTCATTTTTACTTTTATTATAATTTCAAAGAAGTTACAAAAATAGTAAAATATAAAAAAATTTTAAAAAAAGATAAAAAGTATATGTAATAAAAGCACATTCTTGAATTATTAATTTTTTAAGCATTTAATAATTAATTTTAAATTTTGTCATTCATTATCCATATACAAGTTTTTGAAAATTTATTTAAATTTTTATTTTATGTGATACATAATACTTTTTTTTTAAAATATTTTTAAACTGTTTTAAGCATATTGTATAATCACAATTTATTTTCTGTTCTGTAATTTGTTACAGTTTTTCACTTACTTTGGTGGATACACTAGATACATTAGTGGTAAGTTTAGCAATGAATAATTTAATATACTTTTTTAGTATGTATTGTAAACATTAATTTTATTTACATATAAATATTTCATATATGTTAGGTATTGGGAGATTTAGAAGAATTTGAGAATGCAGTCAAACTTGTTACTAGAGATGTAAGCTTTGATACAGATATTATTGTTTCTCTGTTTGAAACAAATATTAGAATGCTCGGGTGAGTAAAATCCTAATTAAAGCATTTATATATGTGTATTTAATGGTGTATATTTATGTTCAAAGGACCCTGCACAAAACCATGGAAAATTTCTACACAAATATTTCCATGCTTCTTCATTATGTGTATATAATATATACATATAGGTATACATATATATATGTATATATATATATATATATATATATATATACACATACATACATACATACACACACACACATATACATAAACATATACACACAACAAAGAAGCACGGAAATACATTTGTGTACAAATTATATCACTAGGAAAGTAACGCTAGACAACATTTCAATGCTTCTATCGGTTAAACAGCTCGATGAATGAGTTTTATGTTCAAGAGGACTTCAGCATTACATCAATAAACATTTCTTGAAGTTTTAGAAAATTTGACCGAACGGTCTTTTTCTGCGGTTTTGTGCGGGGTCTTTTATTTACGTACAAATGTCTTTGATTATAAATTATTTAATTCATATTATATTAAATATTAATTAAATATCTTAAATTAGGTTAAATATTATTTTCTTTTGCAGAGGTCTTCTCAGTAGTCACATATTAGCTGAATATCTGCAACAGAGGGCTGATATAATGCCATGGTATAGAGGAGAACTTTTGGATTTAGCTAAAGATTTAGGATATAGATTTTTACCTGCATTTAACACAACTACTGGAATACCTTATGGCAGAGTAAGTTTATTATATACAATATACAGGATATCTCATTTTAATTAATACATAGTCAAATATTGCTGAAAATATGATCATAATGAGCAAATATTTCATATAAAAGTTAAAAGCTTTGAGAGGGAGAAAAGTTTGATAATTTTGAATTTTAACTGAAGTCAAATTTTTCAATATTCAACATTTTTATGCACAAAATAATGAGAGGTATTTATTGATATAAAGAAAATAGTTATGTTTGAGAAAAATATAATTTGCAAATAGTAGCTAGATATTTTTTCTTAAAAACAACTACATTTTTTTACATCATTGATTGAATCCTTTCAATTATTTTGTGCATAAAAATATTAAAATATGATTATCCAAAAATGAATATTTTATGAGATATTTTATAATTTATGTAAAATTATATCACATTAAAGTACAAAAAATCTTAAACTATTTACTTTTTGATTATTCTATTTTTATAACTTTATGTAGAATATTGCAAAAATCAATGTATATAAAAAAATATGATCCCATTAAAAAAAATTCAACATTCTTGACCTGACCTTGACAACTCGATCCAAGATCAAAGTGATAAGATCAGTAATATTTTAAAACACTACAGCTTTTATTTGAAACAACAAATCTGAGACATTTTGCTGTGTAAGTTATAATGAGACACCTGTATATATAATGTACTATTAAATCATACATACATACATATAGACACTTTTAAAGATTTCTTCACAATTTTGCCAGTTAAGAAAATAATATATATGTATTTGATATGAGTAAGTATTCTGTTTTCTAAATATCTTGTAGATAAATTTAAGACATGGTATGAAAGGAGTTCCTATGGAAGTATCAAAGGAGACTTGCACTGCTTGTGCAGGTAGTATGATATTAGAAATGGCTGCTTTATCTCGGTTAACGGGCGAACCAATATTCGAGGTAAAATATTTTCAATTTGCAAGTAACTTACAATAATATAATGAAATTATATATATTATATATATTTTATTATACATACATACATATATGGAGCATTCCATGTGAAGAGTTCACCTAAAAATATACTGCTTGGAATTTTTAAAATAATCATGAAAATCTATTAGTGCATATATTATATAAGGATAAAAAGATTACAAAAATAAGTATTAAATGCCTTACATTCGATTATTTTAAAAATCCCAAGCAGTTTATTTTTAGGGCCTTTTTCATATGGAATGCTCCATACATGCACACACGTACACACACGTAATAAAATGATAATTATTTCTTTAGGAAAAAGCGCAAAAAGCTATGGATGTTTTGTGGCGAATGAGACATCGTGGTACAGATTTGATGGGATCTGTGCTAAATGTAAATTCTGGAGATTGGGTACGAAGAGATTCTGGTGTTGGTGCTGGCATAGATTCTTATTACGAATACTGTTTGAAGGCATACATTTTACTTGGTAATTGTATATATATATATACATATTCTATCTACATCTATTTAGCTAAATTACTACACATATATCTCGTATTTTTTTATGCAGGTGATGAAAAATATTTAGGTCGTTTCAACAGACATTATCAAGCTGTAATGAAATATGTTAGTCAAGGACCTATGTTGTTAGACGTGCACATGCACAGACCGAACACCAACTCTAAGAATTTTATGGATGCTTTATTGGCCTTTTGGCCAGGTCTACAGGTACCACTTTATATATATATATATATACAAGGTGTTAAATTTCAAACATAACAGGTAGAATATTTCGTAAATAATTCATTTTAGAAAAAAATATTTCCTACAAAAGATGTAGGGTTTCAAGGGAAACATAATAATATTAATATGATCTTGAATAGTACCATCAAGGACATATAAAAATCACTTTGAATTTTTTAAATGGAACCCTTTACTTTCCATTACATATTCTTGCAGCTTACCTTGAGAGTTTTCCAAAACATTATAATGAAATTATTTTCCATTAAGTACTTTTCGAGCTGAGATTTGAAGTTTACAGTATTTTGACATAAAATATAAAATGTCTTGTGAAAATTTAGTTTTTAATAACTTTACCTTAATACTTTTATGCACAGAATAATGAGAACAATCAATTGGTGTGAAGAAAGCATATAATTGATTTTAATAAATGTTTTAAATTACATACTTTTTTTTAAAAGCAATTATGTGTTTTCTTACAAGCTACAAGAATATGTAATAAAAAATGGGGGAGGTCCTTTTTTCCTTCCTTTCCTTAAAAAGTGCATGTTAAGTCGATTACTCGAATATATCGAAATGTTGAAGCCTCTTTATTCCGATGCTGATTGGATGCTGGCGCGTTGCGATATATTCGTGGTTAGGGTAGATTCGGTAGATGCGTAGCGTTTGAACGCTTTGTAATGTAAAAATGATGTGTTCTATTATGTACATAATTTGAATTCCCTTTCTATTATGTACATAATTTTAATTCGATGAATTAAGTATATAATAGAAATTCGAGAAATTATGTATATAATAGAAATTCGAGAATTAAAGTTATGTACATTATTGAAATTTAGCAAATTAAAATATACCCTCGCGGAGAAAAAGTTTATTTAGCGCACGCGAAGCGTGTTATCTAGCCCATTTAAAAAATTCAAAGTGATGATTTTTATGTGTCCTTGATGGTGCTATTCAAAATCATATTAATATTATTATGTTCCCTTTGAAACCCTACTTTTGTAGGAAACATTTTTTTTTAAATGCATTGTTTACGAAATATTCCATCTGTTACGTTTGAAATTTAACACCGTGTGTGTGTGCGTGTGTGTGTGTGTGTGTGTGTGTGTGTGTGTGTGTGTGTGTGGGTGGGTGGGTGGGTGGGTGTGGGTGTTGGTGCGTGCGTTCGTGCGCAGAGATGGGAACAGCCGATGTTTTTTATTGATGGACAATTGATCAAATTAAGCATGAATCTTTTAGTTTAATGTTTTATTTTTCTGAAAGTCTCGACTTTCTGTTTTCTTATTTGATTAATATAACTGTTATCATTTTATATTTAATTATATTAATTTGTATTGCGCTGAAAAATGGCCTCAATCCTTGGCTGAAACATTCGCATTGTCTAAATTGTAAGATTATTTTGTGCATTGTAAGATTATTTGGTGCATTGTAAGATTATTTTGTGTTGCAAAAACCTGCAAACGGTTCTTGAAGCTTTTGAATTAATTATATATATATACACGTTAATGAAAGATTTCTGAGGCGATTTGGAGACGATTTTTCCTCAGCGAAAATGTCCAGGTACCAATAATAATAACGTGTAAAACACGAGTTACCGGACACCCGGTATATATATATATATATATATATATTTTTTTTTTTTCGATAACCCGGTATATATATATATATATATACATACCGGGTCATCGAAAAGTATCGGACTCCCCTAATATCTTCAGTTAAAATGCATTTTGGAGAAAATGTCCAACAGCAAAGTTGTATGATTTCAAGCGGGGAGTAAGATGAATGACCTTGACTTTGACCTTGACCATGTCCTTCAAGATTATTTCAAGATCAACCTAATTTTTGTAAATAGAATCCCCTACATTTTATTGCATATTCTTATAGCTTGTCTCGAGAGCTTTCCAAAACACTATAATAAAACATTTTTTCATTAAGTACTTTTTGAAGGTTTGAAGTTAACAAGTTTTTGACACAAAATGTAAAATATCTTGTAAAATGTAGTTTTCAGTAATCATAACCTTAATACTTTTGTGCGCGGAATAATGAGACCAATTAATTGGTTTAAAGAAAATATATTAGTACTTAATGAAAAAATGTTTTATTATAGTGTTTTGGAAAGCTCTCGAGATAAATATATAAGAATATGCAATAAAATGTAGGAGGTTCCATTTGCAAAAATTAGGTTAACCTTGAAATGATCTTGAAGGACATGGTCAAGGTCAAAGTCAAGATCATCATCTTACTTCCCGCTTGAAACCATACAACTTTGCTATTGAACATTTTCTCCAAAATGCATTTTAACTGAAGATATTAGGGGAGTCCGATACTTTTCGATGACCCGGTATATATATATATATATACCGGGTTATCGGAAAAAAAAAAAAAAAAAATATATATATATATATATATATATATACCGGGTGTCCAGTAACTCGTGTTTTACACGTTATTATTATTGGTACCTGGACATTTTCGCTGAGGAAAAATCGTCTCCAAATCGCCTCAGAAATCTTTCATTAACGTGTTAAACGCGAGTCACCGGACACCCTATTATATATGTATATATATATACAGGGCGAGCCATTTTAATCAACGTACGTAAATATATCGTATAGTAAGCAAGACGGAAAAAAATGTTTCGAACAAAAGTTTTTTGACTATGAGGGGAACATAAAATGGTGTTATTGATTTAATCTTGTATAATCATTTAAAGGTCACGTGAAGGTCACCCTTAATTTCTTAAATGGAACCTGCCATTTTTCATTACATATTCTTATAGCTTATCTAAAGAGCCTTCCAAAAACCTATAATAAAGTGTTGTTTGATGAAGTACTTTTCAAATTATAAAAGTTTAGAGTTTTTTTACAATTTTTGGTATAAAATGTAAAATATCTAAATTGTAAAATGTTCAATTCAAATCAATGGTACCGCCTTATGTCCCCCTCATAGTCAAAAATCTTTTGTTTGAGACATTTTTTCCATCTTGCTTACTATACGAGATATTAACGTGCGTTAATTAAAATGACTCACCTTGTATATATATATATATACAAAAAAAAAATATATATATATATAAGTTCAATAAATAAGAAATGTCAAATAAATGAGTTTCTATTTTAAATATATATTTTTATATATATATTTAATAAATAAGAAATTAAATAAGAAATTTCAAATAAATGAGTTTCTATTTTAAATATATACATATATATATATTTAAAAATATATATTTATTTAAAATTTAAAAATAAATATATATTTAATATATATTGAAATATATATAAAAATATATATTTAAAATAGAAACTAATTTATTTGACATTTCTTATTTATTGGACTTTTCTATAAGGTTCTTAAAGGCGACATCAAACCTGCTGTAGAAACGCACGAGATGCTGTACCAAGTTATGCAAAGACATAACTTTATACCAGAAGCATTTACTACTGATTTTCAGGTATATATTATTTACATATTTTTTTTGTTATAAATAATTATTTCTTTTTTATCTACATAATGATACTCGAAAAATTAGGTACATTGGGGACATCATCCGCTGAGACCAGAATTCTTAGAGTCAACATACTTTCTATATCGAGCTACAGGCGATCATTATTATTTAAAAGTCGGACGTAAAGTACTCAAAAGTCTGCAAACATATGCAAGGGTATCATGTGGTTATGCAGCTGTATCGGATGTTAGAACCAACAAACACGATGATACAATGGATAGCTTTGTATTGTCGGAGACATTTAAATATTTATTCTTACTATTTGCGGAACCAGGAGAATTGGTTTTAGACTTGGATGAATTCATTTTTACTACTGAAGGTCATTTACTGCCACTCACGCTTGCTTCTATAAGAACGAATATTTCATCTGTAAGTGTATAAAATTCAATTGATACAAATAATAGATTAATATAATTAATATTTTATTTATTAAGCAGGATTTTGAACGTGATATCGTACATGTGGACGAATTTGATCGCACTTGTCCAAATAGTTTACATTTATTTCCTGCATCAGTGAGGCAGCCTTTGAGAAATATGGTCGAGGATGTTTGCCCAAGACGATCGATTAAAAGACGATTGAGTGCATCGCAATTTCAAGTTTGTTTAAATTATATTTACATATCTATTAGCAAAGAATTTTGTCTAAAAACCTTTTTTTCTGTAGGCAAATAACTTGGAACATTTGAAAATATTGAGTGATATGGGAATAACGACTCTAACACTAGCGGATGGGCGGGTTCAGCTTTTGCATACATTTTCTAATGTAACTTGTTTTTTTTTATATAAAATATATATATAATAATTTTATTTAATATTTTAATATTATCTATTACATTCAATCAATTATAATGCATTTCTGTTTGTATAATTAGGCGAAGTCAACACAAGATTCAGAGGAAGGACTATTATTCATGCAAGAAATGGTCGAATTGAGTAAAATACAAATGCAACAACCGGAAACTAAACCACAAACAGTAATGTTCATAAAACCTAATTCAGATCCATTGGAGAAAGTTACACTACTAGCTGGGCCAGCGCAATTTGGACCTGAATTACAGAATTTCGATAAGATTACCGGAAAAGTGATATTTACATATCCACCTGCAGCTTGCACCGATCTGCAAAATGTAGACAGATTGGCAGGCAAAATAGTGATCGTGAATCGCGGACAGTGCATGTTCATAGAAAAAGTATATATCTTTGCGTGTAAGGTTCCTGGCTTCTCGCCGACCATGTCAGAATTATGACATCAGAGGCGAGTGTGTGTGAAGCTGGCGTATTATTTCGCGGAATATCATGATTTGTTAAGAGTTCTGACTTCCTTTTTAATAGTTCTAGAGTTCCTGATAGATTGAACATATAGTTCTATTCATTAAAGCGAAAAAATCGCTTAGTGCAAAGTGAGATTCCAATTTCACACAGCATATCACTTTGTCCTACGGTATTTTCCTTATCAAAAATTATCAGAATTGAGTAGATATATAGTTCTACATGAGTTCTAAGAAGAATTCTACCTATTAAAAGCAAAAAAATATTAATTTAACTAAAATACAGATGAGATGCCTCTATATATAGAGATCAAGAGTTCTGCTTATAATAAAGCAGTTCTCGTATAATTTTGAATGTATAAATTACTTTTCTAAAGAGTTCTGATAATTAAAATAGATATTCAACATATTCAAAACTATACGAGAACTGCTTTGTAGTAAGCAGAACTCTTGAAGATTCATTGGAATCTCACCTTTAGGTTCGAAAAGATGCATTTTTCGGGTAAAAAATGGTTTAAAAAAATTTCTATCTATTTTAATTATCAGAACTCTTTAGAAAAGTAATTTATACATTCAAAATTATACGAGAACTGCTTTATTATAAGTAGAACTCTTGATCTCTATATATAGAGGTATCTCATCTGTATTTTAGTTAAATTAATATTTTTTTGCTTTTAATAGGTAGAATTCTTCTTAGAACTCATGTAGAACTATAAATCTACTCAATTCTGATAATTTCTGATAAGGAAAATATCGTAGGACAAAGTGATATGCTGTGTGAAGTTGGAATCTCACTTTGCACTAAGCGATTTTTTCGCTTTAATGAATAGAACTATATGTTTAATCTATTAGGAACTCTAGAACTATTAAAAAGGAAGTCAGAACTCTTAACAAATCATGATATGAGACGCCAGCCTCACACACACGAGAAAACATGCTAAAAATTCTTACAAGCGGAGGTCCTTAGCTGATTCGCCGTTTTTGATTCAAAACCTATGCAACAATGTTGTAGGTGACGCCAATAACATATTCTGCAAGTTACAGACCCTATCTTTGCAGTAAAAAAATTGTATAATAATTTTCTCGCCGATAGAGTGATGGCAAAAATTCCATAACAGTCAAATATCTTGGAAAATAATGACTATGAAAGAAAATGTTAAATACAAAAGTCTTAGAAGATCAAATGATTTATTATGTGGTATTGATATGACCTTCATGTGACTTTGAAGGACACTGTGAAGGTCAACTTTGAAATTTTTAATGGTAAACCCCATTTTTTATTACATAATTGTGTAACTTACCTCGAGAGCTTTTCAAAACACTACAATAAAGTATTTTTTTCATTAAAATTGTTCTTATTATTTATACGATTTTATGTAAGAAAAAAAATGGGAGTTTTTATTTAAGATTTCAAAGTTGACTTTTACTGTAGCCTTTAAAGGCACATGAAGGTCACATCAATATAATCATATAATAGACCATTCTCTTGTTAGATGTTATTTTGAAATAAAAAGACATTTTGATGAAACAGCACTTTAGATGACTTTAGCATATTCTTAAAATATCTTGAAAATTGTACATTTCCCTTTATAATCAATTAACAGCTATAAAATGATTGTAATATGAGGCCTAATTTGTCTGGTCTTTGCACACGCGCAGTCATTCTACATAACAAAGTCTGATATCACAATCATTTTATGGTTGATTGAGTGTTAAAGGGAAAAGAATGAGTTTTTGCGCGCGCGCGAGATATTTTAAAAGTGTACTAAAGTCATCTGAAGTAGTGTTTTATTGGAATATTTTTTTTAATCAAAAGTGACATTTAAGAATTTTCAGCGTGTGCTTTCTTGCTTCTAACGTCATAATCTGACATGACCGCGACGAGGACGCAAAAGCCAAAAAAATTTTTATAAAACTAGCTTTCTCAGTCTTATATTCTCACGCATAATTTTTTTTTAGGCGCGCAGAATTCAAAAAGCCGGTGCACTCGCTGGAATAGTATTGGATAATATTGCCGGTTCAAGCGCAGCAACTTCGCCAATGTTTGCAATGTCTGGCGATGGAAAGGAGATAGATGACGTCACAATACCTGTTGTATTTCTCTTCTTCACGGAAGCAGCCGAGTTAATGAAAGCTATTAATGCGGCGAATGGCGATCTTACTGTCACGCTTGGTAATAATTGATATATATACATATACATATATGTGTATAAACAGGCAATAAGAGCCAAATCGCGGATGACAGTGCGTTATCCCAACGAAACTAAAATTTTTTCGTTAGAATTAAATGCCTGTGCACAAGGCACCAAATTTTACTTGGTTACGGCCAAGACTTAAAATAGGAATAATCTCTATACATGAGATTTAATTCCATACATCCCCTCTTCCCCCCTAAGGAAATAAATGCGAGATCTATATTTTTTTCTCGCATTTATTTCCTGGAGGGAAGAGGGGATGTATGGAATTAAATCTCATGTATAGAGATTATTCCTATTTTAAGTCTTGGCCGTCACCAAGTAAAATTTGGTGCCTTGTGCACAGGCATTTAATTCTAACGAAAAAATTTTAGTTTCGTTGGGATAACGCACTGTCATTCGCGATTTGGCTCTTATTGCCTGTTTATACACTTTAGATTTATATTTAATATTACAGAGCCTTGTTAATTCACTCTTAATTCACATAAAAATTACTTTAATTTTTTAAATAGAACCCCGTTCCATTAAAAATATGCAGTATTTTTTATTACATATTCTTGTAACTGATATCGAGATCTTTCCAAAACACTGTAATAAAATATTTTTTTCTTACGTACTTTTTGATTTATAAAGGTTTGAAGTTGACAATTTTTTGACATAAAATGTAAAATATCGTACAAAATATTCAGTTTTTGATAATCATACTTTAATAGTTTTATGCACTGAATAATGAGACAAATCAATTGATGTGAAGAAAACAGATAGTTGCTTTAAAAAGGATGTATGTAAGCAACATATTTTTTTAAAGCAATTATATGTTTCTTTACATTAATTGATTGGTCTCATTACTTCGTGCATAAAACTATTAAGGTATGATTACCGAAAACTAAATATTTTGTACGATGTTTTACATTTTGTAAAAAAATTGTTAACTTCAATCTTTATAACTCAAAAAGTACTTAATGAAAAAATATTTATTATAATAAGAAATATATGTCGGTTCTCAATATTATTAATAATAATAATACATGAATTTTAAATCGGCCAATAGAGCCCAAGCGCGAAAAATTAATTCTTCGGAACTGTATCTCTTGGTTTGAGATTACTAAGTTCCATATATAAATTAATCTCGAACTTACATATGGAGAAAAGTAGGCGAGAAAAATATAGGTTCGAAAAGTCGCTGAAGCGGGAATCGAACCCGCGTCTTTCACTTTCCGGGCGACTGTTCTTACCAACTAAGCTCTTCAGACCCTTTCGATCCTATATTTTTATTTGCCTTTTAGTAGATGTTAAGAAATAACGAACATTTGGTAAGAGCAGTCGCCCGGAAAGTGAAAGACGTGGGTTCGATTCCCGCTTCAGCGACTTTTCGGACCTATATTTTTCTCGCCTATTTTTCTCCATATGTAAGTTCGAGATTAATTTATATATGGAACTTAGTAATCTCAAATCAAAAGATACAGTTCCGAAGAATTAATTTTTCGCGCTTGGGATCTATTGGCCGATTTAAAATTCATGTATTATTATATTTATTATAATGTTTTGGAAAGGTCTCGACATCAGCTACAAGAATATGTAATGAAAAATAGGGGGTTTTATTTTAAAAATTCAAAGTGATTTTTATGTATCCTTGATGGTACTATTCAAGGTCATATTAATATTACTATATTATGTTTCCTTTGAAACCCTACAACTTTTGTAGGAAACATTTTTTTTTGTAAAAGATGTAAAAAATGAAATATTTGGGGTAGGACATTTTAATGTCCGACATCAGCTACATTAAAATGTCCTACCCATTATATATATGATAACGAAATACCATAAATAAATATACAGGGTATTCCATTTTGAAAAATATGCATAAATATGTAAAACATCATGTTGGAGGAAATAATGTTTCGAACCAAAATTGTCCAGTTTTGAAGGGGAGAGAGTTTAGAGATAATCTTGAATTTTATCATAAGATCATCATTTTTCGAAGTCATTTGAAGATCAATTTAGGTTTTTTTTAATGGAATTCTAATTTTGGTAATTATGCAGTATAGGGGAGGCAGTTCCAATAATCTTGACTTCGACATACAGTTGTCAAGATCATGATCCTGAATAACCTCCAAAAGATTTTAGCCGGTGGTCGATGTTTATTAAAAAATTATAAACAAAAAAGTTTACTAAATAAACGTATAGTTTAATTTGACAAATAATTTTTTAATAAATAACGATCGCCCGCTAAAATCTTTTGGAGGTTACTCAGAGTCATGACCTTGACAGCATATGTCAAGGTCATCGGAGCTGTCTCCTTTATACTGTATAATTACTAAAAAAAATAATCTTAAAACATTTTCCTGATTTTTTTATATAATTCAATTTCTTGCAATATTTGGTGAAAAAATATATAATATATATATGTTTAAAAAATTTTTTTTAAGGATAAGATGGTGAAAAAGTGAATAAGTTATAAAATATTTTATACTTTAATTTGCTATAATTTTACATAAACGATGAAATATTTTTAAAAATATACATTTTTTAATAATTCTACCCTTATAACTTTTTATATCACTATAAATTTAAAGATATAAGACAGGCAGTAAGAGCCAACTCGCGGATGACAGTGCGTTATCCTAACGAAACTAAATTTTTCGTTAGGATTAAGTATCTGTGCACAAGGCACCAAATTTTACTTGGTCACGGCCAAGATTTAAAATATGAAATAATCTCATATTTGAGATTTAATTTCAATAACCCTTTCACCCCCCTACGGAAAATAAGTAAATGCAAGAGAAAAATATAGATCCGAAAGTCGCTGAATCGGGAATCGAACCCGAGACCTTTCGCTTGCCGGGCGACTGCTCTTCCAACTGAGCTATTCAGATCCTTTCGATTCTATACTTTTCTCTGCTATATGTAATAATGTTGATAAACAAACGCGTTTAAGCCCGCGTGTATAAACTGAGTTTTAACAAGGCATTTTTCTCTTGCATTTATTTATTTTCCGTAGGGGGGTGAAAGGGTTATTGAAATTAAATCTCAAATATGAGATTATTTCATATTTTAAATCTTGGCCGTGACCAAGTAAAATTTGGTGCCTTGTGCACAGATACTTAATCCTAACGAAAAATTTAGTTTCGTTAGGATAACGCACTGTCATCCGCGAGTTGGCTCTTACTGCCTGTCTTATATCTTTAAATTTATACTTATATTACAGAGCCTTGTTAAAACTCTTTTTATATCACATTTCGAAAAATTTATTTATATAAAAATATTAAGGTGGTTCTATTAAAAAGAAAGAAAAAACGTTGATTTTCAAATAATCTTGAAAAATGACTAATTGATAAAATTCAAAAATATTAACTTTTCCCTTTTAAAAACAAATAACTTTTGTTTGAAATTATTTTTCTAAAACGCGATGTTTTTTTTATATATTTAAACCTATTTTTAAAAATAGGAACACTCTCTCTCTGGTTATACACATAATGTGAAATATATAAGTTATCCTATTTTTTTCGGACATTTTATAAGAACATTTTAACGCTTCTTTGTTAAATTAGAATCGATTTCTTTTTAACAAAAATATCAAGAAACAGTCATTTTCAAAATTATAAAAAATGATTGAAAGAGAAGAGCTTTTTTTTAAATTGAATTTTAGGAAGCTGGATAATCAAAGCTATATTCTTTAGCTAATTTTAGATATAATTATTACAATTTAGATATAACTATTACTATTTTATTTGATTTTTATTTTATCAAGGATAGAAACTAGAAAGATGTGATTTTGTTAAGAATAAATTTTAAAATTTTGCAAAAGGATAAAATGGCTTCAAGAAATGTTATTAAAAATCTGGATGTTATTTTATTATATAAATATAAAATTTTATTATATAAAAATACGTAATCAATGTAATTTGAATTTTTCTTCAATAAGATGTTTATATTAAGAGATATTAAAAGACATATAGTTTTTAAACAATTAAAGAGTGAAAATATAAACATTTTTTTAAACGAATTAAATTTTAAAATTAGAAAATACATATGTAACAAAATTACTTCTTTAAGTTAATTTTAAATAAATTTAAATATAAAATTATAATTTAAAAGATTAGACAAGGTGTATAAAATTTAGGATAAAAAGATTGTAGGATAAACATTTTAAAAATAATATTAATAATAAATATATTAAAAACTATTTCTTTTGGAATAAAAATGGCATGCATTTTTACTTAATTTTTAAATTTTTTACAAAATTTTACAATCTCTTGAATTATTTTTTACTCTGTATCACAAATTATATATTATTGTACTGTATTAAAAATTATACATATACATAATTATAAAATAAAAAATTTTTTAAGGAAAAATTACTTTTAACAGACTAAAAATTTGAAAGGATATTCAGTGAGTTTGAAAAAAATTTGTATTTAGGCTATAATGGACAACTTTTTTTATAATTGGATTCTTTGATCTTTTTAAATTTTTTTTTAGTTTTGAAAATTTTAAATTTGTCCTTTTTAAATTCTTTTTATTCACATTTTACCATTAAATATTTAAGTAACCAAGCATTAGATTCGATTATAAAGTAAATGCTTTAAGTTAAATACTAAAAATAAAATTTCTGTAATTTTGCTACCTGTTTTGAAATTTAATTTAAAAGCAGATTTTTATCTTCAATCATCTATAATTCATATACTAACGATATTTTTCTTAATTTAAAGATATAGAGGATGTTTTATTTTACATTGTTTAGCTAAATATTGCTGAAACTATGGTACTAATGAGAAAAAAAATTTGTATATAAGAGTTAAACGATTTCAAGAGGAGAAAAAGTTGATAATCTTGAATTTTAACTAAGATCATTTTGCAAGGTTATTTGAAGGTTAAAATTATTTCAGTTTAAAGTATAAAGTATCTTGTAAATTATTGTAACTTTTTAACTATTCTATCCTTATAACTTTACGACAAGATTGATGAAGAATGAATTTATATAATAAAAATTAAGATTTTTAAAAATTAAATGGACCTTTAAATAACCTTGAAAAATGATCGTTAAACTTCAATATTTTCAACTTTTTTCACTTTAAATCTTTTTAATTTTTATATGACATTTTCTAATTATAGTAGTTGTTTCAGTAATATTTGAATATGTTAATTAAAATATATATAAAACCCCTATATATATATATATATGTGTGTATATATATGTTTGACTTACTATTATGTTTAACATATGATTTATAGGGATGTATTCTTCAAAAGAAGAAATTCAACTTAAAGCGCCTACTGATTTATCACTATTTGAACGTCTAAAAGGATCATTAAAATCAATTCTCAGCCGACATGTGACTTCACAGGTTTGTTAATTTTTAAACAATTTTTGTGTATTTAATTTTATATTACACAGATGTCCGGTAATTAAGTAACCAGCCGAAAGGTGATAGTAGATTTAGTCAAATTGAGAAGAAAAGTGCTGTATCATTTTGCCAAATTCGCAATAATTAATGGTTACTTAATTACCGGACAGTACTTAATGGTTACTTAATTATCAGTATATCTCAAACATAACAGAATTACATCTCTATTTTTTTGTAGCCAACAACTGTTGGATCCAGTTTGGATATAACGGTTCCTTTCATTGAATCACAAGAAGATCAAGAGGATTCGATTGATTTTCATTATTTTCATGCAGAAATCATCAAAGATTCGCTCGGTGGTGAAGTCAGAGTTACCGCCGCGTCTGAAGCTGCAATTATCATTTTAAGACCAGTTTCTACATCGATAGAAATTTTATGGCATCAGTTGAAGGAAGTGTTTGTGAATCAAATATTTTTCAATAGTAAACAAAATAAAGGTATAAGAATCCGTAGTTTTATTTTAGAGAGTTATTACAATTGGATAAACAGAGCGCGAAGTGGAGTACTTACGAAAACATCATTATCTTACAAAGTCCGATGGTTTTTAAGCGAACTATTAGTAGTTTCACCAAACTCATCTATCAAAAAGATCGGACAACTATTGGAATTAAACAAGCAGAAGTTGTTGAAACAATATTTACTTACAAATATGGATACTATGGTGTTGAATTTAAAAACGGTAGCTACAAAATTGAAGAGTATAAAATCAGCGAGACCTAAAATGGAGCAATTATTAAAAATTTCAGAATCCGCTATTACACATGTTGAAAATTACTCGTTCTTGCGTCATTTATTAGTTGATTTGTTCGACGAAGAAGATGAGATCATTAATCAACATATTGCCCTATTGGATCGTAATCATGGAGAGGTGCATAGTGTATATCAAGAAATATTAATTGATGGAGTACAAAGGCATCTGGAGAAATTGGGAGAAGAAGATAATTCATATTATGATATATTAATTGCTGATCTACAAAAGAACTTGAAAAATGTAGATAAAGACGAAAATTTATTTGGAAAAAATAAAGAAAGCGATTTAGCAGTAGCGGAATTTATAAATGATAGTAATGGAGATAAAGAAGAAATTGAATCTAAAAATATCAACATTTTGAAGAAAAATAAGAAATCAAGTACTGAGAAAATAGAGGATTTTGAATATTTCATATTGACAGAAATAGAGAAAGTTATGAAATATTCTGAGCAAAATATTTTAGAAAAATATGAAGATGTAAATAGCGAATCAAAAAGTGCTGTTATACAAGATAAGAGAAATAAAGATGCCATTAAATCTGATAGTATTCTGCACTCTTCTAAAAATCAAAGCGAAAGCGATGATGGAAATAATAAAGTTCAAAGTTCACTTGAAAAACAACAAGACTTGCAAACAACAAAAACCATAGATGTGAAATTTGAAAAACCAACTGTCAAGAAAAAGTATGAAAAAAAATCTGTCAACTCTATATCCAGTACTAACAAGAACCATGTTTCTGATATATCCACAACTGCAGATACCAATGTAGGGACAAATTCTCTCAACAATAGACGTAATTCATTGCAAAGAATACAGAATGATTTGATTGCAAATAAAATTATATTTACTGATCCATTGGAAGAATTTAAAAAACTTATATGGGCTACTAACAAGGGAAAAGTGTTTCATAAAAAGTCACAGATTTCAAATATACGATATAATACTATAAAATTAAATGAACTCAAGTATGGGAAAAAATATATGAGCAAAAACAAAGCTGAAGAAACTAAACCAAAATTATATATAGCTAAACATATCGACGAATTATAACAATAGCTTTTAAGATTTAGGCTAAAAATTATAGTTATTATATGATGACAGAAAATAAATTTCCAACGGCCATAAGGCTATCTGCATAAGGCTGCGTTGCAACTAATATTTTTGCACTGTGATCTAGATGTGTGTGCAATTAATTTTAATTAATTTCTATATATACACATATATACAAGATAATCTAGGAAAATTCCAATTATTCAATTAAAAAAGAATAAAATTGTTAGATTATAATGATGCTATAATATAATTTCATAGAAAATTTGTAGATTTTAAATTAATGCTTATAAGGAAATTATTTTTATTTGTTATTTAGAGAAAGCTAATTAATATAAACTATGGACATAACATCATGTGTGATATATATGTGTTGAAGTGGTTGTGAAGTGATATTTTGAACACAGATGGTTTACCAATACATGTATATACATTATGTATATTATACTGTAATCTACATGCGCTCTCGCTAAAATATGGTATCGAATTTTTCTTCCATGAAAGCAGATTTTTGGGTCCTGATGAATCTATTCTACAATTTGTATTATATAATTGTATTATATGATTGTATGTATATATTATAAACTCAAAAAAGAGAATAGTGCTTTAAAATATTGGGTAACATGGTGTAAAAGTATATTGATAACATCAAATAATAACATTACAAATGATAATATCACCAATTGAAATAGATGCAATATTTTCTTTTTATTAATATTTTGCATTATTTTTTATTTAAAGATGTGCCATGATTATTAATAATATATTCATGCAATTTAAGATAACATTTAATGTAAAAATAAAAACACTTAAAACAGTTTTCAATTTATTGCTACAAGTTAATATTAATCTCATCTTTGTTTATATTAATATAATATTGAAAATTAATTTGTTAAATGGTAATTTATAACAAATACTTTATAATACTTTAAAATTTATATTAATCGTATTTTTGTAAGTTTTTATAATTCATATAGGAATTTTGTTAAAACTTTATATAAATTAAAAAAATACATTCTGTTAAATCTTTGAGTATATTTTTAATTTTAAAATAATATGTAAAATAATTTTATTTTATGCTAAATAAAAAAATGACGTCAAATATAATATAACAATTCAAAAATTTTATATTGCAATCCATGAATTTAAATATGTCTTAAATGTACATAACATGTATAGAATAACCTTTTTAACAAAAGGTAAAAAAAAGGGCGACAAGTTTACGCGCTCATGTGAAAAAATGTTATACAAAAAAACAGTGTTTTTAAATTACTATAAAAAACTGCTCTAAAAAATAATGTCATTTTAATTTTATACAATAAATTTTTTTGTACAAAAAGATTAAATATTTCTAAAAAAAATAATATCAAAAAATTACGACAAATAAAAACCTTTATACTATAAAATCTTTTATTATTATTATTTTATTAAATAATTTTTTTCATAGAAATATTTTACAAACAACAATTAATTAAACATATGGTTCATATATTGTAACGCAGCAAATTATATAAAAAGATCAAATGTGACGAATGATTTATGATTGACAATAATATCTTATTTGGATTAAAGAGTATGATATAAAATAAAAAATATATATCATTTAATATTATTGTCAACCATATAATCACTCGTCACATTTGGTCTTTAGAAATATTTTAACAAAAAAAAAAAAATTTTTGTTAAAAAAACTTGGCGCTGCTAAATTGCATAATATGTCAATAATGTTAAGGTACTTTGTATATACATTTATGTTCCAGTTAATTGTTCTATTAATATTCCAGTTATTGATATAATGTTTAAATAAATATATAATTATTAATGTAATGTTTATATAATTATTAATGTAATGTTTTAATAATTATTAATGTACTGTTTATAAAAGTAATTTTTTTATTACTTTAAGATATATTGCAATAAATTAATTAAATACTATCCAAATAACAAACGTACTTTGTACATTTGCATTGCAAATATTTTCTAAGTTATATATTGAATATTTTAAGATACATTACAATAAATTATTATTTGTGTTACATTAAAATAATTATAGTAAATTAATTATTTCTTATTTTAAGATTTACAGATACATTACAGTAAATTTGAAAAAAAATTTAGCAACGCCAAGTTTTTTTAACAAAAATTTTTCTATTCTTTTTGTTAAAATATTTCTAAAGACCAAATGTGACGAGTGATTATATGATAGACAATAATATCAAATAAGATATATATTTTCTATCATATTCTTTAATCCAAATAAGATATTATTGTCAATCATAAATCGTTCGTCACATTTGATCTTTTTATATAATTTGCTGCATTACAATATATGAACCATATGTTTAATTAATTGTTATTTGTATAATATTTCTATGAAAAAAAATTATTTAATAAAATAATAATAATAAAAGATTTTATAGTATAAAGGTTTTTATTTGTCGTAATTTTTTGATATTATTTTTTTTAGAAATATTTAATCATTTTGTACAAAAAAATATATTGTATAAAATTAAAATGACATTATTTTTTAGAGCAGTTTTTTATAGTAATTTAAAATCAGTTTTTTTTGTATAACATTTTTTCACATGAGCGCGCAAACTTGTTGCTTTTTTTTACCTTCTTTAAAAAGGTGAGTTTTTTTATGGATATTATTCTTTTTGTAGTATATATTTATTATTTACACATTTTAAAATAAAGAAACAAAGAACCCGCCACTACCCCCGTCATATTTCATGAAAATACAACGGTCCTCTTTGTTTATAATACATACCATTGTTTACTCATATTAGTATCTCTTTATTAGTATCAAGTTTTTTTACGATTGTGTAAATAATCAAGCAATAATGACAATACGGCAAATTCGCGTAACAATACTTTGTAAATATCTCATAATATATTTATACATTATTTAACACTTTTATAATATATTCTCGAACAAATGCACAAACGAACAAACTTGTGTAACTGCAGGATATAAATGTATGTATGATAGAGAGGGAGGGGGATGGAGGAAAGGGGGGGGGAAGAGGGGAAAGAGAGAGAGAGAGAGGTCTAATGTGCATATCGATAATTTTTACTATTTATTTTGTGAATTGTTTTTATTAAACCAAATACGAAAATAAATATTTAAAAAATTAAAATTATGTTTTTTAATGTATATATTTATTAATATAATTAACGTGAATGTTACATGTAAAGTACACATTAATTGTAATTTCTCACTTATACATGTAACTTTTATATTATAACATATGTTACATTGTAGTTGTATTGTAATTACATCCCAGATATCACTGTAACTCATCGATAGGTATTGTAAGATATTGAAAATAATTTTTAGATAAGTTATTGTGTTATCTGGAATATAATTATTATAATATAAACTACAATGTAACATATGTTATATTACAAAATATTACTTTTACGAGTGGAAAATTACAACTAATATGTAACATTTACGTTAGTTATACATGTTATATAGCAGCTATATAAATAAATGTAATTATATTATAATAAATAAGTAATTATATTATAAAAGAAATTATATTATAATAAATGTGTAATTATATATCAATATACACAGTATATATCAATATACACACATTAGACCTCTCTCTCTCTCTCCCCCCTCCCTCCCTCCCTCCTCTCTATCATACATACATTTATATCCTGTAGCACAGATTAATAGACAGATCGCCAAAGGTCTGGATGAAGGAGAGACCAGCATTTCTCACTGATTTCAGCGCCATATTGTAGTAGTGGTCAATGCAGTAACTATTAATACGTTCCCAAGATAAGAGCGTCTCATGCTCATGAACTCGTCCGGCGGCATGTACGAGATTTATCTTTTCGTAGCGTTCGCGTATTTCGGAAAGGACAGAATTTTATGATGTTATAAATAAATAAATAAATAAAATATTAACTTGACCTATTATAATTATTTTTAATAAATGTTTCATTATTATTATCATCTAAGTCTAAGTCGTTTAATTAATTTTTAGTTTTTTAATAATTAATTTAATTTATTCTAATCATTTTAATATGTGAAAAATACTAATACGTATACGTTTTATAATGAATTAATATATTTCGAGAGTCGAATTATATATTTTTAATAATATAAAAGTGTTCAAAAATTATATTTGACTTTTAATTTTAATTATTTTAGCAAAGAGTTCCGAAATCTCTTACACACATAATAGGGATTTTGTTCATCCATATAATTCGCAATTAAGTATATATGTTAATTATTAATTTTAATAAAATACAAAATTAAAATTAAAGGTCAAATATAATTTTTGAACATAAATATATTTAATTCGTTATAAAACGTATACCCGTGATAGTATTTTTCTCGTACAAAAATAACTAGAATAAATTAAATTACTCATAAAAAAATAAAAAAATAATTAAATAATTTATATTTTATATGATAATAATAAAACATTTTATAAAAAAAACAGATTCAATAAATATAAGTATATATATAACATGTACTTATATTTATTGAATCTGTTTTTTAATAAAATGTTTTATAAGCTTAGAAAACTTGACTTTGACGTAACTAGCAAATTTTATTTAATTATTTCACGACGGTTTGACGTAATAAAATGTTTATTATTATTATATAAAATATAAGTTTAAATTCTTTAATTAATTTTTAATCTTTTATGATTAATTTAATTTACTCTAATTATTTTTGTACGAGAAAAATACTATCATGGGTATACGTTTTATAATTAATTTAATATATTTGTGTTTAAAAATTATATTTGACCTTTAATTTTAATTTTTATTTTATTAAAATTAATAATTAACATATATACTAAATTGCAAATTATATGGATGAAAAAAATCCCCATTATGTGTGTGTAAGAGATTTGGGAACTCTTTGCTAAAAAATTGTGGCGATAAATGCCACAAGAATATTAAAATATATATAAAATAAAATGTACACGAAATAAAAAATATATGACAAGCGACGAGTGTTAAGGATATCGCGACCGGTGACACAAAATAATAAATTAATAAATAAGCGTCTAGCATGACGAAGGTAGATCGTGATTTCAGAACAGAATAAAAAGCGAAA